CTCTCCTCTCTCTCTCTCTCCTCCCCCCTCTCTCTCTCTTTCTCTTCCTGTCTATCTCTGTCTCTTCTCCCTTAACTCCCCCCCAATGCCCTAAGTAAACTCTATTTCATACTATTTCTGTCCTATGGCTAGTACTACAGGGGGAAGGGATGCATGGGCCCACAGAGGCACCCCCAATGCACCTCATCATATTGTGCCTCTACCAAACATATCCTGGTTCTTTCATTTTTATGAAACACAACACTTCCTACATAGAAATGTTAATGATACTGCATTACCATGCAGCTTTCTATTTGACTGTATACTAACTATTTAAATTCATGTTGTTAAACACTGGTAGGACTTTAACTATTAAGAGCAGTTAATACCTTTATTTTCTGACATAGGTTAGTTATCATTGTATAATCCAGGCTGGCCTCTATGTCAACATTTTCCCATCTTAGCCTCTAGATCCAGGGGATTACAGGGGTGACCCTCCATGTTGACACTTTTTTAACTTTTATTGGATCTTTGTGAACTTCAGATCATACACCTCAATCCCGTTCATCTCACTTTCCCCTTGTACCTACCCTCTACCCTTGCACCCTCCCCCACGACAGAGAAAAAAAGAACATCATGGGAGCTGTAGTGTGTCCCACAATACCTTTTGTCCACACTTCTTTGCTTGCATATATTCATTGCAGTGATTTGTTGGTCTGGTATAAGGCTTCTGGCTTTTGCTACTCTATCAATACTGGAACCTCACTGGCACTCCTCTCAGCCATCCCATTGTTGCCTTGTGTCTAGAGACCTTGTAGTTTTGGATCTATAGGATCAGCCCCTTCATGCACTCCAGCAGTTCATTGATGGGGTAGATGTTGGGGTGGATCAATTCAAATCCCTGAGTCTGGGCCTGAGAGGTATCTGAGCAGATTAGCCCTTCCACTCTCCTGCTCTTATGCCCTTGGGGCTGGCTCACCAACAACAGCCCCCTCCCTCCATCCCCCAATCTGCAACCAGGGCCAGCTCTACCCTGCTGCCTAGGTGATGTCCAGGGCCCACTTTCCTGAGTGTTCCAGCTGGTGAGGGACAGAACCAGCTCTCCCACTCTCATGACCTCAGGGTCAGCTCTTCTGCCTGCTGTAGACGTATGTGCCACCACACAGCAGACAAGAGGCAGGGCTGGGTTCTCCTGCATTCACCCTCTCTGGGGCCACTTGACCTGCAACCCACACATCCAGGGTCAGATCTACTGTGTTGCCCAAATGATGTGCAGGGTCCCCTCTGTTAGTATTCTGTCTAAACTCCACCTCCACAGTTACCTGGCAACAGCCAGGTATGCTCCTCCCCACAGTTACCTGGCAACAGGCAGGTAGGCCTGCCCACTATAAAAGGGGCTGCCTGCCCCCTCCTCTCTCCTTCTCGCCCCCTTACTCCCGTGCCTGCAGGTTGTCCTCTGCCCCCTCCCCCTTTCCTTCCCCCTTTCTCCACGTGGTCATGGCCCGCCTCTACTCCTCTGCTTCTCTGCTCTCTCTTCTCTCACTCTCTTCCCTCAGCCCCGAATAAATTCCCCCTCATGGAACTGTCTGGTCTGCTGTGGTCTGTTCCAAGCTACGCAGGGAAAATCTAACACCCTCTCCTAAGTGATGCAGCAGGTGAGGGGCAGAGCCAGCTCACACTCTCAGGGTGGCTCACCCTGCCATCAAGGGCAGCTCTTTTGTGCTGCCCAGGTGAGGTATAGGGCTTACTCTCCTGAATGCTAAAGCAGGTGAGGAGCAGGGCCAACTCTCTGTTGGGGTCTATGAGTCATTCCACAAACCACACAAACACCAATCTCAGTTAGACCGGGATGGTTTATTGAACATACACCCCAATGTTGATTAGACCAGGGATATAGTTCAGACTTCAGGAGCTAAAGCTATGACAACAAACATTTCTCAACGCCTGCTTATAAAGGAAAAACAAAAAACAAACAAAAAACCACAGTGAGCTCATATGCAAGTACAGGAAGTGCTGCCCAATGGTCAGCTCTGACTTAAACCATTTTACACATAACAGTTCATATTAACATTTAATTTGATGGGTCCTACATAAAGCTCTGTGGAATTTCTTAAGATTAACAAACCTCAAAACATACAGAACATAACAGGATATGTGATCAGCCTGACCTTGCTCGATGTCAAAGTATTTTTCTGCGTCAATGACCTGCAGTCACATTACAGCAACAGTATGAAGTAGCTAAATGGGCATGGAACAAAATGGCTACAGCTACGCTGCGGAGGGTAGGGGGCGGGGCAGGCCTTAACGTTCTGCTCTTCTCATGACTCCATCTGGGCCAACTCTTCTGCCCACCACCGGCAACAAGGGCAAAACGGAGGGGAGGATATCCCTCCTCTCTCTCTCTCTCTCTCTCTCTCTCTCTCTCTCTTTCTCTGTTTCTCTCGCCAATGCCACTGCACAGCAGACAAGAGGCAGTGCCAGCTCTCCCACACTTACTCCCTGGGCTCAACAGCAACCTCATATCCAAGGCGAGCTCTACTGTGCTGTCCAGTATAGGTGCGGGCTTGCTCTCCCATTCTGATGACCTTGAGGTCAGCTCTCTGGCCTGCCGTGAGTGGCAAGGGGTGAGAAGGGGGGAATCTCTCCCTTGCCCATGTTGCTGCACCAAAAAAAAAGCAGGAGAGCCAGCTCTCTCAGACTCATGCCTTCAGGGCTGGCTTGCCCACACCCCTGCCACCAGGGTTGCGCAGGTGAGGTGCAGGACCCACTCTTCTGAGGGCTGCTACTAGTGAAGGACAGGCTCAGCTCTCCTGCTTTCATGACCCTGAGCCTGATCTCCCACCTACCGCAGGTGGTGAGGAATGAGTGGGAGGAGTATCTCTCCTTCATCCATGTCACCACACAGGAGACAAGTGGTAGAGCCAGGTAGGGCTCATATTTTTGGGCACACTTTCCCAAGTACTTTAGCTGGCGAGTGAATAGGGACAGCTCTCTTGATCTCACGCCCCTAGAGCAAGTTCTTCCAGGATACCTAGGTGAGTGATGGGGCCAGTTCTGCATAGCCCTCACACATCAACCTGTGTCTGGTGGCAGCCAAGACCAGGGATGTCCACCTGGCCTTTGATGGTAACAAACTCATGCTGCTGCAGGACCATAGATCCAGATGTGGTCCCCACTGGCAGCACAGTCCAGGACCCTACCACAGTCCCAAGTAGCATCACCAGGTTCTCACATCAGGCTGTTCCTCTCTATTCTTGAGTCTCAAGTTTCACCACTCTTCATTGTGCACACTTGCTTCTGTTTCTCTTTCTTTCATTTCTCCACCACTTACTTGCTTCTCTTAGCAGTGCCCAGGGTCTCTACATGTCTGGAGTCATCTCAGGAGTGGTCTCATGAGTGTTATTCCCAACTTGTGAATTATGGTTCCAGGCAGGGGTCATTTAGACATGGTCTGCCCCAATTCCACCCTGCACAGTACTGGTCTGGTGGTCATCTCAGATTAGCTCCCTGTCCAGGCTCCTTGGTGCCAATATGGTGGTTGTCTTGGGCTTGCTCCTCACCCAGCCCACACCTGAGTGACCCCTGGAGAGGGTTGCCTGTCTCAGGCTGACTGCTGTTAGGGTTCTTCTAGTTTCCAGCTTGCTCCCTATCCTGGGAGCTTGTCTGGGCCTGCCTGGCAGACTGGTGGTCATTACAGGCTACCGTCTTGTCCAGAGGCTCCCTGGTGCTGGCTTGGTGGTCAACTCAGGCCCACTTCTTTTTCAAGGAATGTTAGGCTGCTAATCAGTCAGATGTTCACAGGTCAGAACATTGAGCTATAGACACAGACTCACTCCTCTCTACCATCTACTGACACACATGTGACATAGCAGCCACACCTGCAATGCCTCTAGATAGTGAAATCTTGTAATGTAGATTGTAATTCGCTTAAGTTGTACAATATCTCTTACATGTGTCAAGCATTATGTTTATAAATTCATACTTATCCAATAGCACCTGTCATTGGAAAAATAAAAATATGCTTGAATATCACACAGGATTTCCTATGTACATCATACCCGTTAACAGCCCTCACAACAATGGCAATGTATTTAGTAACCATGCTTTAAAAGTTCATAGTACATTTAGCAGAAGCAGGAGAATCTCCAAGTTCAAGGCCAGTCTGTTCTACAGAGCAAGTTCCAGGATACTCAGGGCTACATAGAAAAATTCTGTCTTGAAAAACCACCCTCCCTCCCCCCGCCCAGGCAAAAATCATAGTAATGCCTAGCTTTGGTCAGTCTGAAACACATGTTTTATTATTATGTCCATGTAGGAGATTTTCCATCAGGTACAAATTTATTATCAAATCCAGGCTTCCATCCTTACATTACACTGTACAAAGAGTCTCTTCTGACAGTTGCTATGGAGAAGGGAAAAAAAAAAAGACTCTCTCCTAGAAGCCTCCACAAACATTCCCTTCCTGTAGCTATTTTTTTCATTTGTCAGTACCTCTGAATAAAAAGAAGGATCTCTAAGACTAAGCGTTTACGTGAGTTAGCTCATTGCCCACTAGGAAGCTGAGCAAATGCCCCCAAAGAAGGTGGTATGAGCTAAGTAGCAAATAATTTTCTAGTTTTGCCATCACAATTACATAAATTATTGTACATAATTAATCATTTTACTTCTTCACTTGTCAGAAAAATAAAAACAACCAAAACTTAAAAATGTACTTTACATCTTTAGTTAGATGGCCAAGGAGAACAAAGTGGAGGGTATTTGGGTTTGAAGATCAGTCCCAGATTAAACAACAGGTACAACAGGACAGGGCTACTTCTGTGAGGATCAGTCCCAGATTAAACAACAGGTATAACAGGACAGGGCCACTTCTGTGAGCGAACAGAACCAAGTAGCTCCTAGTGCTAAGAAGACAATTATACTTGATTCCTTGAGGAGCACTCTGGTCTTTTGTATTAAATTCTACTTTCCTTATTTAAGGACATCCTTTGTATATTTTGAATGCCTTTTATTGGCAATTTACATTTTTCAAAGGTCGTCATCTCTGGAAAATCATCACACGTATTCCCTAAGGTATTCTTAAAATGTGCTTCAGTGGTTGAAATCTCAAGAGAGTTAAAATGAAAGGTTTACAGATATAAAATGAGGTATCAATGGGGATCACTGGGAATCAAAGTTCAGAGTTTTGGGGCTTCTCCTGAAACTTTAAAAGAATCAAAGATCTCCAACGATTTCTAGAACTCTCAAGTTGTCTATGATACATAGTTTAGGAATCAGTTCTGAATCAGAACTCACTTTAAAGGATGAAGAATGCAAAGCCAGAGAAGTTAAGCTGCTCACTTAAGGTCCTGCCTCTACGTTTGTAAGTTGATGGTGACTTGAGTGGTCCTCCTTTGGCACGGCCACTCCAGAAATTTTACTTCATAGATATGTCCTCCCAGAATCATTTTGTATCTGAACTTCTGCCCTTGGTATTCAGGCTTCCAGCCAATCTCTGTCATTAGCTCTACTATAGATATGTGACATTAATCACTGGAATGATTTTCTTCATGTTTTATAGCAGTGTTGGGAGGAGGAGTGTGGATATGACAGTATGCAACGCAGGGATCACGCCAGATGGGCAATTCAGCAGGACTAGCAGTTTGATCTTTTCTCAACTGTAGCTGAAAAGGCATCTCAAGGTGAAGGAGAAAAAGCCCGTTTCTGTATGTCACTGCTGAGCTGATGCAGAAGCAGGGGCATAACTACCAGCAATGACTTGTAGTTTTTGAGTATGCTGTGTTTTCTGCATAGCCATATATAAATTATCTAAAGCATGTAGGGGTTGGTTATGTAGTTGTTACGTCCAACTTTGGCAACACTTTTTCTGACAGGTCTAGGAAACTGTCCTTCAGCAAACACACCCAGACTTTGTGGATACTTGTCAGGCAGTGTGGCAGGATAGTACTAAGACATTGATGAACTCTAGCTACATCTCCTTCATTAATATGGCTGAGAATACAGCCCTGCAACCTATGCCTGACTGATTCCCACACTGACTCAGGTTGAAATCCACAAATGGATACAACTTAATTGCTTTGTTCCTCTATAGAATTACTTGACATTAATATGCTGCTGCTCCTCTAGCACATTTGTTCAATAAGCTAAAAACAAAAGTCTCCTTCACATTTAAACCAGGTTCAGCTAAGGTTTTTGAGACTTATGAAATAGATATTGGGGGTGATCACTAGATAGCTTTCAACTATTCTGTATTCTCCTATAAACCACCATCAACTTTGTTAGGAATTAGAGTAGTTTTTTAAAATATCACATTTGTCTTTATTTTTACATTTTTTTTTGCATTTTGTTTTAAAATTGTTCCTTATTATCATGGACAGGACAAGGCTGTCCAGTCTCCACTCCTGTTCAACAGAGTACTCAAGGTAATATCAAGAGCAATTGGACAAGAAGAGATGATAAATGGGCTACAATGAGAGAGGAAGAAGCCAACGTAACGTGACTCTACACATAAAAGACAGTAAAGACTCTGCCAGAAAACTTCTACACCTGGTAAATATTCATAGAAGTAGTAGGATACTACTTTATGAAAATCAACATAGCAAAAATCAGTAGTCTTCCTATATAAGAAATTACAAACACGGTAAGTATCTTATGTAGGGTTTGTATTGCTGCAATAAAAGTCCCATGAGCAAAACAACTTTTGGAGAATAGGGTTAATTTCATCTTACAGCTTGTAGTCCATCTTCCAAAGGGCAGAGATCTGGAGGCAGGAACTTATTCAGAGGAAGAGTGGTTCTTATTAGCTTGTATCCATGTTTTCCTCAACTTGCTTTCTTATAGCACCTAGGATCACCAGCTCAGGAGCGGTACTTCTTACACTGGACAGGCCTTCCCACAAGAGTCACTCATTAAGAAAATGTACTACAGACTTTCCCGTAGACCATTCTGGTGGGAGGCATTTTGTCAATTGAAGTTTCCTCTTCCAAAATTATTCTAGCCTATATCAAGATGATAGAAAATCTATCTGCAACCTCCTCCAATCGTACTGAGTCTGCACTCAGTCTCCGAGAAAATGAAAGACAATCTGGGGGGGATAACATTTGAAATGTAAATAAAGTATCAATAAACAAATAAATGTAAAAATTAAAGCTGCAATGTTGCTTGAGCTAAAAGGAAAGTGTTGGCGTGTGTAACACTGACAGGGTCCTTCTAGTCTTTAATGCTTCCCCAGGTGCTGAACAATTCCCGGGAACTCTTCACACAGAACAGCCTAAGATGGCCTTTAAGTTTTATATGGAATGTATGCCCTGTTATAACTTCCCATTACAACATGAGGTCAGAGCTGCCTTCTTCAGTGCACCACGTCCTTTGCTTTGATGTTACTTTTCAATCCTGACCAGTACTTTCCTTACACATTCCTTACAGTCTTCCTGTATGCTCTCATCTGGACCATTCACAGCTGTTTCCTGGCTTCTCAGTACAAGAAAAAACATGATTGTTCCCAGGGCAGAACAAGGTACTGCCATGTAATGATTTTAAGGGACAGACTCTATGAAAATCACAGTTAGCTGAGGGTAAATGACAAAATTACACTTTCCTGGAAGACCTTCAGTTTAACCAAGGGGGGTGCTTTATAATTAAGAACCACTATCAAGTGCCCTAAAACATTTTTCATGGTTTACTTTTACTTTATGTGCATTAATGTTTTGCTTGCACACATGTCTGTAAGATGGTGTCAGATCCTCTGGATTTGGAGTTACAGACAGTTGTGAGCTGCTTTTTGGGTGCTCGGTATTGAACCCAAGTCTTCTGGAACAGTGTTATTAACCAGCCCAAGAAAGCATTTTGTAAATGAGGATAATTATTTCAATCTCTTCAACAATTTCAATGAGTCAAACTTTATTATTCTAGAGGTTGTTTTCAAAGTAAGTCTCTGTAACCATACAAACTACTATAAATTTTATTAATTTTTATTAATTTTTAAGTTGTTAGAAAATTTGTTCCAAATTTCTAGTTTCTGATGTTTTATTTCTTAATATCTATTGTTGTATACATTTTACATCTATTAGATTAGAGATATTCCCCATCATCTCATTTTGTGTGTACTTATGAGATATAAGAGAAAAATGACATGGTAGCTGCCCATGTGGTCACCTCCTCAGGGTCCTGTGGCTGCTTAGTCACCATAGGACATTACAGGGCTGTTGACACCGTTACTGTGTGTAATAAGAACTTTGGAGTGAGACAATAGATTTGTAAAATCCAAACATAAATGATTCTACACAAAAAACAGCTAACTGTATAAACCATGCAGTGGATGGCTTTGCACTGTAGGATTTTGTGGGTTCAGGGACCGAATTAATTTCCTTATTTGAATGAAGATTGATGGATCTTCAAATGTACGTAGTTACATTATAAAATATTTGGAAAACCACAATTATATCCATTGATATTTAAATAGAAAAAATAGACCTAAGCTTTCTTGATTTTGATAGAGATCTCCTACTCCATAAATCTCCAGGGTTTTATCCTCCCTCTATGCATAGCACTTTGTGGGGCCAATGGTTCTCCTGTGTGACTATTTTGATTCGTTTAAAGTGTATTGTTCTTAGATTTATTTAATAAGATTTTCTTTTAAAAGTATGCTATGATTTCTTCACCCTCCCTCTCAATTTAACTTACCAAAAAAAGATGGGGAAAAGAGGTAAATAGAGGCAAAGAGTCTGAAACAATTTTATTCTGTTTTTCAGTAGAAAAACTTGAAAGATGTTCTTTAAAAAAAAAAAACCCAGCAGTTTTATGAGGATTCATTTGTTTTATTAAAAGCCAGCAGAGTGGCATGGAAACCACAAGGTGGCGCTGTGAGTCCATGCTGGTTCTCCTACTGGGGGCATAACAGCA